TTAATTGATGGTTTGAAATATGATTTTATGTAAAATAATTGATATGAAACAGCCGTCTCTTAAGTTATCACCCCATCTCACCACATGAAAGTGGCAGAAATGACAATGATCAGCTGACGCATTTTTCTTGGCCGAAGTCAGAGCGCGCGGCCCGACGCACCACCACCGCACCACAAAGTATGAGCAGAAGCCACCTGCGGTAGACCGCGCCCAAAGCCAGGGCCCCGGTAACGTGAGGTAGCCGAGTCGGGGCAGCGTGCGCTGACCCAAGCCGGGGCCGCGGCTATGGGCGCGGTCTACCGCATCCCCGGGCAGCCCCGGGCTATCACATGACACCGGGGCCGCGGTCTACCGCATCCCCGGACAGCCCCGGGCTATCACATGACACCGGGAGGACGCGCGGCCCCGGCTTGGGTCAGCGCACGCTGCCCCGACTCGGCTACCTCACTTTACCGGGGCCCTGGCTTTGGGCGCGGTCTACCGCACCACCTAACAGGCGTGTTCGAAACCGCAGGAGATGATGATGAACGGGTTTATCGAAACTTGATTGGATGAGCCTATCGGTAATAGCGATTTCAGTGTGTGCATTTATTGTTCATAGTGGTGTGAAATGTGGTTGGGGTACGACCGACAACCCGTCGGGGCGAATTTCGCACTGGGGTACTCAAAATTTGAAGAATTTAAGACGTTTCCATGAGTTTTGAAGGTATGGATAAGTTCTAAAAATCCGGTTCTCCTTATCTGGACCATTAACCCGGCACCCGGGTTAATGCTTAATTAACCCGGGCTATTTCCGTACCCACGACAGCCTGGGGGGGGGGGTCGGATCCGACCCCCCCCTGTTATCTCGAGAACCAATGGTCGTATCGAGCCCCGCGAGGCGGCGTTCGAAAGGTCTCTACGAGACCTTCCCAAAGCACTCTTAATATTTTAAGAGTGCTTAAGATTTTAAGATTGAGGTCAACTTTCGGGTCAAGGTTGCCGGTCCCGTAGCTCAGTTGGTTAGAGCGTTGGACCCCGCGTGGTGAGAGCACGCGTTCCCGGTTATGACAGTCCGGGTTCGAAGCGCGACGGGCGCTCGACGTTTATGGGCCTCTTGACAGGTATGGTTGCGGTTGGTGGCAGGCCGTAGTTAGGCGAAGTCAGTGAGGGGACCGGCCGTGCGCGGCTTTGTGCGCACGTTAAACTTTGGGCTCTAAATTCTGCCATAGAATCGGAATTGCGCGATCGGAGGGTAGAGGGCAGGGTCATCGCAACAAGCTTCGCTTAGCGGTGGCTCTGTCTTGTGAATCCTTCCCATCAAAAGGTTCGGACTAAGTTTAAAAAAAGGTCAGGTCAAAGGTCAAATTCAGGGGTTTTGCATGATTAGGCTTACGGACAGCGGAATCGATAGCTGCTGCTCGAAACTCACCAAAAAGGACCTCAAAGGCCTAGTGAAGGTACCATGTACGTATAAGGGTCATACTAAGTACGGATCAAGGTCAGGTCAGGTCACGAAAGGTCACGGTTTTCACTTTCTGCTACATGGGCGTGCGACACATGTTTTATGGCTTATTTTTCACGCCGAATCCGATGGTAATGGTTATATGTGACCCCAAGTCACTGTGCTGGTGATAAGTGTGCATTGAAAGCATAAAAAATCATTTGTACCATACATAACTAAACGAGGGCTAAGAAAAAAGTCAATTTTTCAACTTTTTATTTTTGACATAAAAATGCACTTTTCTAGACGAGCTTTGTCCCAGGAATTTAGTGGTGCCATTTGTTTTCACATGCGATGTTCAGAAGTGCCTCTAATTCACGAAAATGCTTATGACGTCAACCATGCCCTATGCATTTTGGAGCTATTTTTTACAATTTGGGGGTCAAAAATCTAGATAGAAAGTTGAAATTTGGGACATCTAATGTTCTAATAGAGCTCTATAACATATATTCCGTTTTTTTAATTCCCAAAATTTTTGATTTTATTAGCTGTTTTCCAAAAAATATAGTTCTTTTGAATTTTTAGGGGTGAAAAACGCATTTGATGGAAAATCCGAGATAGCCATTTTAAAGAAGTCGTTGAGCTGCGTCTATTCATGTCATTAATTTGCAATTTACTTTAAACCTCGATTTTTGGCGATTTTTTAAACATTTACCACTTTTTGACTGAAAACGCCATGTAGTTGCATCACTAAAATCGATATATCTCAAAAACAATTGATTTTTTTTCCTAAAAATTGCACAGGAGACGTCAAATTGATGGGGGAGAAGGCATGCCAAGTTTCAAGTAGATAGCGTAAGCGGTTCATGAGTTATTCAAGAAAACGGAGGGGGGGGGGGTCGGATCCGACCCCCCCCCCAGGCGGTCGCGGGTTAACCCGGCAGACAGTGGGCCTACCAGCCACCTTCCGCGCGGTGGGGGTGGGGGGGGGGGCATTTTTTGTCCCCCGTATCTCCGAAACTACTGGACGGATCCGGAAAATTCAAACGGCGTTCGATAGCCCTGTCAAATTTGTCGAAGGAAACCAAATTTCATTGACCTTGGGGTCACCGATGACGTCACAGGTCAGGTCAAAGATAAAATGTTTCACCGTTCACGGGGCTTCTAGGGAAAGCGCTATAGCACCGAGTAAAACGCATTTTGTCGAAAATCAGCGATAAGGCGTCAGTTGTCTAGTACATATGTTGCTATTAGAGGTCACTGGTCATACCAGGTCATGTCACAGGTCAGGTCATCAAAGGTCACCAAGGGTCACCACATGAGCCCAACTTTACTAAGGTTATGCGATGCATGTTTTATGGCCAGTTTTTCATTTCTAACTCAATGGTGTTGGTTATAAGACCATCAGGTACGGTTTATGTCACTTTCTGGTGCAGGTCAGGTCAAGGTCAGGTCAAAAAAGATCAAATTTCAAAGTTGATATTTTTGCATAAAATGGGTATCGATTCGATGCAGCTCGTCACGGGGAGTCTAATGGTGGTCTTTTTTTGCGCTACGAGGTCTAGAATTGCTACAAATTGAGTTTGAAAATTTGACGTCATCAATTTTGAACAGTTTTTTCGCTATCACTTGGCCAAAAAAGAGGTATCGATCTCAAAATTGGTATGTAGATAGAAGGCGGTAGGGACTATCACATATATTCCGATTTTTTCGAAATTCAAAAAGCTTTGGATTTTTCGGCTATTATATTAAAAAAATCTATTTTTTGATTTTTGGGGGTCAAAATCCAAAAAAATTCGAAAAACCGAAATAGCAGTTTTGTAGCCCTTTTGATTCCACACCTTTTATGTCGGAAACATTTTTTTGTATCTCTAAAGCTGTAGGCCTGACAGCTCTTCCCGCGAAACCTTTTTTTGGGTCGAAAATGGCAAAAATGACGTCACTCTGACGTCATTAGCGGCCAACCTATCATAGCCTTTGGAAAAAATTTTGGTCACCATGTGCGCTAGCTGCTCCCGGGAGGGAACTGAAAGTTTGGTGACGATCGGCGCAGCGGTTCTCGAGATATATTGAAAAAACTAAAGGGGGGAAATGCCCCCCCCCCACCGCCTGGAAGGTTAACTCCATACGGTCCAGGAAAGCTGGCATACCTTAACCCGCGCCCTGCTGGGGGGGTGTTTGAACACCCCCCTTGTGGTTTTTCGCGAATATCTCAAAAACGGCGGCGCGGAGCGCCGCCGTTTTTGGTACACCTTATCATACATCAATTCTACACATGTTGTGAAAATTTCAGACCAAGGTCATTTAAGGTCAGGTCACCAGGTCACTTGAAGTGACCTCACCTCATAAAAAGTTTCAATGTCTGTCATAGCTACACCGAGTGACCGATCGCTTTGAAACTTTCAGCGATTACTAAGAGCAATAGCATGTACAAAATGTATATCTCAGAATTTTGATATCGATGACCTAAGGTCAGGTCAATTTTGCGACCTCCCCATTATAAGTCAATGGGAGAAAATTGAAATGCGCCTCTTTTGGACGAAAGACATTATAAACACTCCCAAACACCGAATTACAAGTAATTTAGACACACTGAACATGAAAATGGTGTCCGTGACCCTTGTTTATGCCCTGAGGTCATCTTAGGTCACGAATGGTATCTAACAGTTTTTCGCAAATAACTTTTGATAGAGGCATGCTAGAGCGATGAAAACGCCTTAGATGTGTTCAGCTCGACGATACGGATCGACTGATATGCAACATGACCCTTTCCGGTCAGGTCATGACCTTGACCTGAGGTCAAATTTTCAAGTTGACCTTTCAAGGTCAAGTTATAGTTCATTCGATGCGTCTTGACGAGAGAAACATGATGCCGGTAAAAGAAAGCTCGTACAAGGCTTGGGTCAAAAGTTATTGCAGAAAAACTGTTTCCGAAAAAATCGGCTATTTTTGCAGTTTTTGCCCCCTGCAGGCAAAACCGTTGACGTTAGGACAAATCTGAGGGAATTACTCAGAAAGGGCGTTAATAGGGCTATCGAATGCGCTTTTCCGCGGCGCTGTAGCTCTATTGGTTCCCGAGTTATGCGTTGGCTGCTTGGAAACTTTCGACATTCGACCTGGAAATCGGCGAAATTTTGCCTTCAATGACCTCTGGTGACCTGACCTTTGACCTGACCAAAAAATTGACCGAAGTGATTTCGTCATTATTTTTGACGCTCTTTCGAACGCCGCCTTCCGCGTATCGCTACGTGGCCCAGGAGCTGAGTTACAGGGGGGGTGTTCAAACCCCCCCCCCCCCCCCAGCAGGGCGTGGAAATCCAGGACCCCCAGCCGGGCGCGGGTTAAGCTGATGAGTCGGTAATACGCATTCGCGATGAATCCGTTGTAATAGGTACGCATTTGCTTTGCTCATGTAACCCCAATAACTGACTTCTGTAATTCTGTTTTGTGTAACCTCTACTATCGGCGTCACATGATTAAATGTGTATCGGGAACTGATTTTCCTGTTCGTTCATCATTGCTCAGCCGATTAGACTGTTGATTGACTGTGCTGCTGTACGGTTGGTGTATGCCGCAGACCGGGCACGACCGGTGCCCTGGCCAGCCGGCCGTCCACGGGCGCCGCGCGGGCCAGCGCCGGTGCGGGCGGAGCGCTCCGCTCGGCAGCGGCAGCCGGCTCCCGGCCCATGACCAGCGTGTCGCGGCCAGTCTCCGGACTGCAGGTGAGGCACCAGCCGTCTCACCAGAGAGTTCTGCGGCGCTCATTGGAGCCCAATCGGCGGCAAACGGTGGCGCATGCTCCTTTTAGGGTAACGGAGCCTTTTGGTGGGGCACTGGAGGCTTCTTAGCAGGCCTCATCTTTTTAAAATTAATGTCTCTCTTGAGGGAACAGACATCCCAACTGTTTCGTCCCAGTAGTCGGACTGATGAACTGAATGTATGCCAATTTTAATGTATCTTCTCACCATTTCATGCAGTCGTACAAATGCATCTGTCATGTTTTAACCGTCGCCCTTACTTTCGCGTTTTCACAGCCGCTAACGTAGGGGAGAGTGAAGCACTGGCTGCATGGGGCACATTCTTTTTCAGCAGTTTATGGGAACACGAGTGACTGCTAAAACAACCAAGGCCGTATAAGTTAGGTAAGATCAAGGCTATGTAAACCAGGTAGAACGCTCCCGACGAAAAACTGGGGACAACAATGAATTTAGTAACCGCGACTCTGGGGACCAAACAAACTCAGGTTGCCATGGTAACGGGGCAAAATTGGCATGAGTACGCATCTAATAACTCATCTTTCAACGAATTGTTTTAGAAAAAAGCAAAAAGACTTGTTGGACCACTACTAGAATGAATTGCAGTTTTCATAACCGACCAGAGTTTTCATCAGACTGGCCTAAATAATATCAAAATCAAGTCCTAAACTTAGCGGCCCGTGCTGCTATAGATTACCTCTAACGCTCTGGCCCCCAAAATCGTCACTGGCTTATCAGCCAATGAGCGTCGAGTATTGTTGTACGCTGATTGGTGGGATTACTGCAGTTTTTGTTTAGAATGCTTACGATCCCAGCTAACAGGAAACGTTACTACAACGTTGTCACAACGTCGTGTTTCGGTAAGTTGCGAAATTACGTTTTAATTACGTTGTAGCAACGTTCGGAACGTTGTGAAGCCATGGTTTGGTCCGAAAGTCGTGGTAAAACGTCGTGACAACGTTTTATTGGTACGTTGCAGCAACCGCGCACTTGCAGCATTATATTTTGATAATGCATGGTGACATATATGGCCATGTAATGCATTTCCTTTGACTTTCAATGCGCATATTCAGTTTTCATCGTTAAATTTGACATATTTTAACACTTGGACTGTTCACGTTGTCAGCTGGTGGTCGCCAACACGTTGTTAAAACGGTTTTTCACAACCTTGACATTATAGGTACTGAATAATTAGCGGTGTAAGTAAATTCTGATACCTTTCTCTCTCTATCTCTCTCTAATATATATATATATATATATATATATATATATATATATATATATATATATATATATATATATATATATATATATATATATATATATATATATATATATATATATATATATATATATATATATATAACATGTGTAAATTGCAAAGCGTCATTGGCATGTTTTGCAACATCACAGGCGGAGCTAGAGGCTTGCAACCAAGGCTATAGAACTCCAGGTAAGGACACCAGCCGTTTGACCTTGAACGCCGCCGGCCGGCCGATGACGTCATTGGAGGCAAGCCGGCTCGGCGGACACACAAGGCGAATGCATAACGGAGGGGCGTTGGAACGTTGCGGGAGCCGGGGAGATATTTTAATGTGGTTGTATACCACCATTGTTATGTTTATTGATCTACAGACTGCATTCTTTTAAACCTCGATGCACTCTAGGCCTGGATGGTTCGTACATTCGTGGAACGATCACCCCGTCCGAAGTCCGTGGTCGAAGCTGTCATAGTATTAAAGACACTAAGACGGGTGCAATAACGGCGATCCGATCCCGTCTCTGGCGAATCTAGAGGGGTCGTAAGGACCCAGGCCGAATCTGACCGTCTATTTTTAGGGAAACGGGGTGGGTGAATTGACAACCGATGGCTTAAAGGTAGTGTGCCACCTTTGAAAGATTTCCCATTTTATTTTTCCTAGGATAAGAAGCTTCTGTTTTTACATAATATCGCAAAAAAAAAAAATCAAAAATGGGCCTGGAATAGGGCCTTTTTCGCCTAAAAGTTTTTCGGTTTTTAGATATGTATAACAACTGTAGTGGGCTCACCTGCAAACAGGCGTCGGGCAACAATCGCGAATGCGGCGCACTTGTGACAATAAGCAAAGGTCATTATAGTGTTACGACCATACGACGTACGGGAATGAGTTATCAGCTGTCTAATCGTAGACAACACAATGTCGAGCCTTAAACTGTATTGGTATTGTTTCTTTTATTTGGCTGTCGAGCATTATTTATGGTTTGAAATATGATATTATGTAAAATAATTGATATGAAAAAGCCGTCTTATAAGTTATGACCCCATTTCACCACACGCAAGTGGCAGAAATGACAATGATCAGCTGACGCATTTTTCTTGGCCGAAGTCAGAGCGCGCGGCCCGACGCACCACGCGTATTTGGAAATTCCGACCTCGACGAGCATCAGAAGCCACCTAACAGGCGTGTTCGAAACCGCAGGAGATGATGATGAACGGGTTTATCGAAACTTGATTGGATGAGCATATCGGTAATAGCGATTTCAGTGTGTGCATTTATTGTTCATAGTGGTGTGAAATGTGGTTGGGGTACGACCGACAACCCGTCGGGGCGAATTTCGCACTGGGGTACTCAAAATTTGAAGAATTTAAGACGTTTCCATGAGTTTTGAAGGTATGGATAAGTTCTAAAAATCCGGTTCTCCTTATCTGGGCCATTAACTCCATACGGTCCAAGAAAGCTGGCACACTACCTTTAAAGGGACTATCCCACCTTTAACATGGGGTTTGAGTTGAGATAGCCAAGTTTGCGGCGAGGTTCAGAAACCACTATCTATCTAGGTTGCAACTCCCGCGGCCTCTTGGTGTTGAAGAAATTCGTTCCCTTCATTTGAAAATTATCTTCAACATGGAGCGACCGTTAGTGTGACGTCACCTCGTTTAGTCATTCTGATTTAAATGGGTTTGTTCGTTGAAAAATCGCTTAAAACTTGGTCTGAACTTTGTTGTGGTGCCTACAGAGTAAAAAGAATCAGCTTTATGATAGTAATGTGGCCCGGGGAAGGAGGTAATTTTGGGCTGTGACGTCACATATTTGAAAGTTTGTGTTTGGAATATGGGAAGTCTAAGATGTTTAATGAAAAATAAATGCCAGAACCGTGTTCCTGGTCATCCAATCTATTAAGTCGGGCACAATTTAACTGGTTTTAACAACATTTTAGAAGGTGGGATAGTCCCTTTAAGAGATAATGAGAAGAGATCCCGTCGTCGATTGTTGTATGACAGACAACACATGTTGTACTGGACGTATGACCATCAGAGGTAATGCCTGAACGTAGGCAAGCATAATTGTTCTGTCATACTGTTTAGGAATATAAAATGGTAATGGAGATTATTGAGGATATGATCTCTACATTACAGGAATTCGCTAATTACTACGGCCCATAGGGGCACCGCCGGAGCTGTTGTTTTGCCATCGGTCCCAGGCAACTCCAGGGAGCTGCAGTACCCGGCGGCCAAAGCGGCCCACCTCGTGTCTCGCAGGTCCTGTGGGATTCCGTGATGCTTTAGTGCTTCACCCACAGAAGCACGGGCATAGCAGTAGGATGTGGGGCTAGGTGTCTGTCCACCTCTTCATTGAAAGAACAACGTATACAGCGCCTGGTCCCGCCGAAGCTCGGTATCGACCGTGACTTATTCACAACTGGCGGATCCAGGAAGCGGTCTTGGACACTGCGGGGGCTTACCCCAAAAAGGTTTCTCGGAATTAATTTAAAAAAACTCTGATTTCGATTCCTTGCGCACTGCTGTGCAGTGTGATTAACCAACATTTCCTCAGAAAAGTTGTGAAGTTTTCTTTGATTCTCGAAAAGCGATTTCGGGCGCTGCCAATGTGGGGGAAGACATTAGCCCCAAATGCCTTCCCCTGGATCCGCCAGTGGGTTGCCCCACTCCGAGCTTGACTAAAACCATTTTCAAACCCCACCAGAAACCGATGGTAAGGTGAATTTAAATCCAATAACTCATCTCTGTCTGCCCGCCTAAATATGTATACAACACATGGTACGGCACCCGGCCCTGTCTGAGCTATGAGCCGATCGCGATATTTTCGGCTTTCCCCAACCCAAGCTCGATTAGGAACGTTCTCCTTCCCCACCCGATTGCTGATGTCAATTCAAATTCAATACCTCATCTCTGTCGGCCCGACCATAACCCATTCATTGCACACCGTTCAGCGCCCCGCCCCGCCAGAAGTATCCTAGCGCGCTGAGAAGTTGCCTCCAGCCGCGTCATCGCGAGGCCCCGCGCGGCCCATAAATTAATACATTGCGCGAATAGCCGTGTCGCCCCCCTGCTTGCAACTATCCCTATGTAAACGCGGCTGTTATCCGCGGCTGCCAGCAAGCCACGCGGGCCGCCACTCAGGCGAACGGTGGCTCGCGCCCTGACCTCGCCTGAGGGGCCGTGACGTCAGTGTCACCGGCCGGCGTTCAGAGCCAGCCGGCCGAGCCGCAGTCTACGCGGCGCTAGCGAGCAGTGAGGGCCGGCGGCGGGCGCGGCTGAGATAGCTGGAAGATGAAAGATAGCGCCAGTTGTCTGCGTTTAATGCGATTGTTGCTTTGACTGGTAAGTCAAGTACCATTTACGAGTAGCATTTGCAAGATTGTGCCTTGTAATATCGTGCGGTCTAGGCTATAGTTCATTGTAGCTCTAGCCTCTAAGGTGTTGACATGTTTGATCTAGCCTGTCGAACTGTTACGGAAAGTGGTGCAGGTATTTTTGTGATTTTTTCATGAATTGAATGTCTGATTTTCCCCCATGTCTTCCCGCAGACTTCCTGCAACTCGTCAGCGCGCCTTGTGGCAGGCCTACTGTCGGCAATGCGGTAGCGAAGTGGCTGTCCGGAAGCTGCGACCGGAACGGGGGTGCGCAGACCGTCTAGTCAGGCACTGCCAGCTGCCTAGGGACATCGAGGCCGCAAATGAGCCGG